TAAGCAAATTGTATTTTGTAGAACAAACATTCTAAGAAACTAGTCGTTGGGTGAAGAAGATTGTTAGCATTTTGATATAATACATGAGCACAATATATCGGAATATAGGAATATCAAGACATTCATACGAAAATTGAATGCTGATTTCAACGCATCCACCAACAAGCTACAACGGAAGATCAAGAAAAGAGCAAATCGGTTGAAGTTCGATTGAGTTATGAGCATTCAAGTGAAATCAATTCGATCAGCAACACCATTCGCTCAAGCCTATTTCACGTAAAACGTGAAACACGACCGCTCATTCGAAAAGCTAAGCTTAGAAAATGAACTGATTAGACGCCGGGAATTTATTTTTTTTTAAGTTCAGAACCAAAACACAATTATCTGACTATAAAAAGAAGATATTTTATAAATATCTCAAACATTAAAAAAGTCAATACGCCTGCCACGGGGGCAATCCGAGTTCGATTCCCGGCCGATGCACCACTTTTATGTTTTACTTCCTAATAAAATCACAATAGAAAAGTAAGTAAATTAAATTATGACTCTCTCTGATCGTGAACGACCGAGTTTCGAGTTAATGAATGCAATAATAGTAAGTGAGCGAAGCAATACATCTCACACGTGCTCCACGTGTGTCACGTGCCACGTAGGGTGAAACAGACGCGTTTCATGTTATCACTGTATCCAACATTGTATCGAAAAAAGTCCAGCTGGTGATGAGTTACAATCTCATCGTGATGCTGTTATTTTTCTCACTCATGCAGTTACGAACAGAAAAATCATAGCATGGATCTCAGTTTTTTCTGTTGAAAGAGATGTTGTCTTATTACAAACGGACGAGAGCCTAATGGCTGAAGATGAACTCGAGTTTCGGGAGGCTTACTTTGGCCAGCCTTGTTTTCTGCTTGTGAGTTTTACACACTTGGGTGTTTTCATAATCACAAAATAATTTGTTTTAGGGGACACCGATAACTGATGATGGTACTCCGGTGCAAGTCATAAGCGGAAGAATCTCCTCTAAATTGAAGCGCAGTTTTTCCGCTATTGGCCATTCGCTGCATGGGCACGGATCTGCGCATCCTGGTGCATCAGGTGGCCCAGTTTTCGCGCGCCAACTTTCGTTTGGAAAGTTAACACTTCCAAGGCATAGTTGTTGGCGGTGAAATAATTAAAAACAAACTATTGTTATCTATCTACGGTATTCTCTTACATTCGTATTGGTACAACATACGAGCAACCGTTTCAGTAAATTGTATGTAAGACGTGTAGACAACCGTTTAAAGTGTCTATGAGAAGCTCAACGAGCAACTTATGGGCTCACATGCGCAGAAAGCACAATGTAACGGAAAATCAGTTGTTGTTCTAATGTAAACCAGGAGAGAACCGAAGAAGGCACGTGGACTTTCCACGTGGAGTAAGAGGTATTAATAAGAGAAAGAACATAACTAAAGGACGGTACAGTACCGTAACTAATATAAGAAGATAATTTGAGGATTAGGAGGAGTTTTGTTAAGAAGTTAGGTTTTTGGATATAGGTTTTTCTTGTGAATTAGAGTTAGAGTTTTTGTTACTGAGTTTGTTTTATTTTGCTAAATTGGTTTATTTCTTTGTTGTCTTCTTTTCTGAATAAAATTCAGAAATATAATAAAATATTTTGTATAGTTGACCAAAAGTCATAGACTTCTGTATACCTCTAGTGAGTCAGCCTTACACTAATTTTTGCTTTGGGTTTTTTAATAATTGCGAAACCTTGCTCCAATGCGAAAAAACATGGAAAATCTCACTCAACTGCAGTTG